ATTCTTTTCAGGACTGAGCTGCACTTCCTTGATTGCCCCAGAGCGAGGTAGCCACCTACTATTTTGGAAGGGCAGGATGAATGATGTCATCTTCAGCCTGTTCCTAGGTTGCTGGGAAGATAAACATTATGTCTTCTTGCTCTGCCTCCTTTCTCTCTCCACTGGTGCAAGCTTTTTCCTTCCACTTTACAACAAATGCCTGTTTCAATTGGCTATGTGTGCTCTCTTGGGCATCCCTCAACTCCCTCAATTTCTGCTTTTCCAGGCATCTCCGACTGGGCAGGTGACTTATCTCCTATAAAAGGATGGAACTTTGGGATTTTATGTTCAAGGGGAGGAAGGAACAGTTTAAAAAGTGGATAACATTGGCAAGAGTTCTTCCACATTTTTTCTTCAATTCCATTGACAAGAAGGACTGTAAAAATGTTAGGTTTTCTTTCTTCACCAGTACTCAAAATGCTTGCCCACATAAAGGAAAGTAAGTAATGCTACTTCCCTGGTATGGAAGGGAGAGGGAGAAGAGGAGAAGCGGGGGCTGTGGTAACTGTAGTCTGGACAGAATACCTGACCAGCCCTGTGGCCAAAAGGGAAGAAAGGACTGAAATCTGGAAAGACTTTCTATTAACATCATTTCTCAGCTAATTTACATGGAAGATAAGGAATTGAAGCCTGCTGTGCAGAAAAGCCCTATATCCTAGTCCAATATCTTAACCACTACACAACACTGATTCTCTCATTTTGAATTTTCCTTCTGTTTACTATGTAGACCCATCCATGAGATTTTCTTTACAAGTACTTAGAGACCTGATTGCCTTCCAACCTATTCCTCTGTCGTTTCCATATCCGATTCCAACCAGCTTAGTTTATTGAGATCAGCCAAGGTTGGTTAGAAGTTATAGCCTACTGTAGATACTGCAGCTATGAAAGCAAAAATAGAAATAATGACAAGAGTTTCAGTAGAAATGAAACACTTCCCACTTGGGAAAACTTATGACAAGGTGACCTAAGTGTTGCTATGTAACTCTTACACTTAATGAGTAACTTCAAGCTCCCTGTTCTTTCTCATGTTCTTGAAACTGGACTTTGTTTGAACAACACTTCAAAAGGAGGATGGCACAGATGGAAGTAGGTCTCCTTGCCATGCCCAAGATAGACCTAGTTAACATAAACTTTTGCAGAGTAGGGGTTTTTCAATACACTGCACATATCTGAGCCATTCACAAGGGACGTCTTAAAGGCCCAGGAATGTCAGTGAAGAGGAATGATCTTACTTTCTTCTATAATGTCTTATAAAAATAATAATGAATAAGTTAAATTCATTTGGTAAATTGTTTAAAGCAGGGGTGAAATCCAGCAGGTTCTGGAGAACCGGTAGCGGAAACCACACCCACCAAACCACACCACGCCCACCAAGTCACGCCCACAGAACTGGTAGTAAAGAAATTTGGATTTCACTACTGGTTTAAAGCTGAAATCTTGAAAAGTTTAAGGAAAGACAAGAGGCAGAGGTTATCCTGCATATTCTATACTAATCTTATATTGGTGACGTGTATTTATGTCATTGGAGGTTTAATTATTTGCTCTGTTAATACTTTTATGATGATAATTATTTCTTATTGAATGTTATTGTTATTACCATTGCACTTACATGTTGTTATTAATAATTTTTGACCCCAGAGGAAGGAAGTGAACCATCACAATACTATATCTCCTACTCCTAAACTCTGTACGTGGTCCCAAAGGATGCCGTGCTTGATGGTATTGAAAGATCGAAAAGAGTCAAAATGGATGCACTATCCTCATCGCAGCTCCACCAGAGATCACCAGCAACCACAACTAATGCTGATTCAGTGTTATGTTTCAGTCTGAAATTTGATTGGGAAGGGTCTAGATAATTTGTTTCCTCCAGCGCCCTCTGAAGCTGTAGCCTGACTACCTTCTCAACAACTTTCTCTCAAAGGGAAAATTGGGGGAAAATTGCCTAGAAAAAAATGTTTGGATCCAGTGATAGCTTTTTGAGGAGGCCTTTACAAAGCAGGTGAGACCACCCATCCCTCAAGCAGATACAATGGCATGGAGCCTCACCACCCATAAACTTCTGGACAGCCTTCATCAGCCAGGGCTGACATGTAAATAGGTGGGCAGGACAGCAGTCCTAAAGACCTGGTTCACTTTCCTCATGAGTTACAAGTTCAAACTCACCCCGGTAACCACACAAGGATCTTGTTTTAATTATTTCAACAGATTTTCCAGGTGGAATCCAACTCTGAGTGGATTTGCGTTTCAGGTGTCTAGAATATTCCTTGCAGTGAATATACAGATGACTCTGTGAAATGCTGCTCCCTAGCAAGGAATAAGCCACTTTAAAAAAAAAAGGGCTGCTGGATAGCTATTTGTGGATGTGATAACGGAAGAAAAATAGCTATGTTTTACTGCTGTTATTGCCACTTTGTAATCCCTAATATGGGCTTTTACTATTTTTTTTGTTAGATTTACTTCTTTTGACGGCACTCTAGCTGTTTCTTCTAGCATATCATCTCCTGAAGTGCATGAGAAATCCAGTGAGGACCTCAAGATCAATACACAGGGAGCAGCCACCTAGCAACAATAATAAGCTAAGGTCTTCATCATATGCCCATTCCAGACTGGTTTCAATCAAATTGCCTCAAGAACTTTTCCAAGCTTTTGTTATTACTGCAGGCTGGCTATTCCAAGAGAAAGCTGTTTACACGTTTAATAATCAATACGTGTTTAAACTAAGGAGATTTCAGTAGCACTCAAGGATTAAGTTAATTTAATGTCATAGCAAAACAGGTTACCAGATGCAATGCACGTCTATATAATATTATCCGTGTTTCCCTGAAAATAAGACCTGGTTTTATATTTTTTTGGGTTCCAAAATAAACACTAGGGCTTATATTTGGGGGCTAGCCACTTCTCCTGCTTGCTTGTGGCTGCAACAGGGCAGGAGGTTGCGTGGCTGCATGACTCTTGGCTTTCCCGCAGCCTGCAGGGCACAACTGGGCCGCAACGGAGCAGGAGGTTGCACAGCTGCACGACTCTCGGCTTGCCCATGGCCTGCGCGGCACAACGGGGCAGGAGGCTGTGTGGCTGCATGACTCTCGGCTTTCCCATGGCCCACATGGTGCATCCAGATCATGTGCCTCCTCGCCTCTGCCTCCACCAGCTGCTTGGACAGGTAATCAACTCACCTGCATTACGCAGGCTGTGGCTGCTGCCAGACATCATTGGCCCCCATGCCATTGCCGCCTCCGGTGCTGACCACACACCCCGGCTGATGACGACCTTAACTAGGGCTTATTTGGGGGGGGGTAGGGCTTATTAGGAGCACAGTAAAATCAGACTAGGGCTTATTTTCTGGTTAGAGCTTATTTTAGGGGGACATGGTAATACAATTGTTTCACTACCAACTCACAACTTACTCATCTGGGGTAATTAGTGTGGGCCAAGAATGGGGCTTGTGCTCATCAATGTGTTATTTTCTGTTGTACTATCTGCCCTGTGCAATGCACTTTCCCTGTGAAGCACCTTCTATTATATATTTAGCATGCTTGTTCAAGTCTATCTTCTCATCCAGATTTTCCATGAATAAATGTACAATAATTGTAGGTTTTGTTTTCTTCCCCTGCCTCCTTTTTATTGTACAGATATTTATATATATGTTAATTGTGCTTTTGTACACCACTTATATATAGTTAATTGTTGATGATAATATTACGACTAATTTATTTTCTTCTATTCAGTTGTGTCTAATTCCCAGAGACTACCTACACAAGTCCATGAAGTTTTCTTGGCAAGGGTTTTCAGAAGTGGTTTGCCATTGCTTCCTTCCTAGGCTGAGAAAGAGTGACTGGCCCAAGGTTACCCAACTGGCTTTGTGCTCAGTATGGGTCTAGAATTCATAGTCTCCTGTTTTTAGCCTGATTCCTTCACCACTGCACCAAATTGGTGCTCTCACTGATAATAAGAAAGCCAACCAAATATCTACTAAATTAAATTGAGCTATACAAAGATCAATAGGGTCTATACATTTCACACGGTGCCAAAAGATTGCAAGTTGACCTTTAAAAGGATTCTAAGTGTGAACAGTTCCTTAAGAGGTGCTATAAATAACCTGAAGACAGTGGCTAATTTTTAAAAAGAAAAGTGCTACTGAATCTTATCTGGAATACAAATTGTGCTGGAGGTATTGATTCCTGGTTTAATGCAGGTAAATTTAAGATTATTTTGTAATTAGGCAAATGCATCCTGTATTATTTTTTCCCTTTGAAAAATCCAAAATCCTTCATGTCAGTAGATTACAAATAGCCAAGAAGAACTATCCTTCTTTAATATACAATGATCAATTCAGAGAACACGAACCAATAAAAGAACAAGTCTAAACTATATGAATTAACATTCTAAAGCTGCATCTCTAATAGCAAAGTGATTGCAATCAATGTTTATGGAATATTCTTTAAGCAGTAATCTTTTTCAAAGCAATAGTAAACCAGTTTCATATGTTGTAATGCAAACCTTCCATTTTCATAAGTTGTAAACCATCCCTATCAAGATTGGATCTTAATCTTATTTAGTCTATAGAGAACATAAATAAATAATATTAATTTCATATTTTTTTTCTATGAAAAAGTATAGGCTACTGACTTAGGAGCAGAAGTAAATTCCCCTAAAAATTCTAATTGCTGTGAAACCTCAGAATGAAAAACATCCAGAATTTTGGATGAGATGTTTCCCCAGAACCAGAGAATTTTGAAAGGTGACGTTCGAAATGAACAGTGGCAAAACGTTTGCGTGAAAATACATTTAAAAGTGCATGCCCCACAGAACTTTTTCCCAGTCTTCACTTTGCAAACATGTTCTTTCAATCTGTTGAAGGTTTTGAGTACTTAACAAGCCAAACAGTTCAGAAATTCATCAGTAAATTAGCGAGGAAGTATAAAAAAAGCAAAAAAGCAAAAAGAAAAGCACTGCTTACTTACAGCCAATCAGCATGACGCAAATAGAAAAGATTTTCTCTGAGTTGGTATTTGGAGACACATTTCCAAATCCTACACTGGTCAGGCTGCTGAAGGTAAAATAAAGTGCGGTGACATATTTGTCTTTGATGGATGGTCCTGAGCTGCCATCACTCCGATTGTAATGTTTTCCCAGCTGCTGTCCCAGGGAGTCCAACCAACCGATTTTGCGAGACAAGTAATGCCTTTCAACGTTCCCAATGGCATACCAAATGCAAGCCAGCCAGTGAGCAATGAGTGCAAATATGCACATCAGTAGCATCAAGACAGCTGCACCATATTCCGAGTATCTGTCCAGTTTGCGGGCAACCCTCACTAAACGCAGTAGACGGGCTGTCTTCAGAAGGCCAATGAGAGTTGTTGTCTGCAGAAACAGAAACCACAGTGCATATTAGGCATTAGCTCAGATGCAAAAGAGGAGAATAAGGAAAACAACTTAGGTGAAATTACAATAGTCTGTTTACAACAGGGTTTCCCAACCTTTTCTATACCCCGCATCCCTAAAAACGCTTCTGATATATTCTCGCACCCCTTACAAAAGTAAATAATTATATGCATATAGTTATGCATATACACTATAATTTTGAAACTTCTAAACCCAAGTTTTCGCATCCCCTAGAATATCGTCTTGCATCCCTGGTTGGGAACCCCTGGTTTACAAGTATGGTCTCATACCAAAGGTCATAGGTCCTGTGAAGAATATTAATAGCACTCAGACTTACATACCGCTTCACCGTGCTTTACAGCCCTCTCTAAACAGTTTACAGAGTCAGCATATTGCCCCCAACAATTTGGGTCCTCATGATGCCTACTTAGAAGATTTAAGTTCTTAGGAACCTTTTTAGGCAATCTCCATGCACTTTAATCTGCAGTTTCACAATTAACTTACCAACAAAAGAACTTCATTAAGTACATTGAATTTTACTTTGGTACAGAAATACATACGTCCTTCATTTATTAGAGTTCTTTCATACAGTACAAAGCCAGCTTGGGTTAGATTCCTTAAAGATCTAAGAAATGATCAGAACCAAGCCTACCGTGGGAGTTGCATCACATATCTTTAGACCAGAATGCAGCACATACTTCATGGGTTGTCAGTCAATGATGCAGTAACTCCCATTGCATCACTGACCTCTGCGGGTCCCTGTCCCCACTTTTTGAGCCACGGTGGCACATTGATTAGAGTGCAGTACTGCAGGCTACTTCTGCTGACTGCCAGCTGACTGCAATTTGGCAGTTCAAATCTCAACAGGCTCAAGGTATCCGTAAAATATCCAGAGATATTTTATTAGAAGAGTACTCAAATCCTCTGCTTGAAAAATAATTCCCTATATTTGAAATTTTAGCCTTGGATAGCCTTGAACTACGCTGTCTACGTTCCGACCTAAGCTTAGTACACAAGATTATCTACCATTACGTCCTACCTGTTAATGAGTACTTTAACTTCAACCGTAATAACACAAGGGCTATGAATAGATTCAAACTCAATGTAATCCGCTCTAATCTTGATTGTAGGAAATACGACTTCTGCAATAGAGTAGTAAATGTCTGGAACACTCTACCTGATCCTGTTGTTAGTCTCTCTAACCCCCATACCTTTTACCTTAAAGTGTCTACCGTGGACCTTACACGTTTCTTAAGAGGTCCCTAAGGGGGCGTGCATAACTGCACCAGCATGCCTACCATCCCTGTCCTACTGTCCCCATTCATATGTACTCATTTTATGTGTTTATGGCTATGTTTTGCTTATTTATATCCTTTTATTTGTGTCAATTTTTTTTCATGTGTCCATGTCTATGTCTATACTGTTACTTGTTTCCTTGTACTTGTTGACAAACAAACAAGCAAGCAAGCAAACAAATAAATAAAGGTTGACTCAGCCTTCTATCCTTCCGAGGTGGGTAAAATGCGGAGCCAGATTGTTGGGGGCAACATGCTGACTCTGTAAACCGCTTAGAGAGGGTTGTAAAGCACTGTAAAGCAGTATATAAGTCTAAGTGCTATTGCTATTGCTATCTTTCCTACTTGGATCTAGGAAGGGTGCCTTCTCCATAATTTTCTCTGCTCTGTGGAACACCCTTTTTCAGAGATCCAGCAGAAACCCAGTTCCCCTTCTTTCTGGAAGGCCTTCAAGAGCTAGCATTGGGGTAGGATGAGACTGACATAGGGGAGAATGTTGCTTAGTGCTTTGATTGTGGCTGTTTTTTGTGATTTTAATTGTTTTGAGAGCCATCCAGGATTATAGTTCAGAATACAGATAGCCCTTGACTTACAACCATTTTTAATGACAGTTTGAAGTTACAACGGTGCTGAAAACTGACTTATGACCATCTTTCACACTTATGACCGTTGCAGCATCCTCACGGTCACGTGATCAAAATTCAGGCTCTTGGCCACTTTATGTAGTTTTGACGGTTCCTGTGCCTGGGGTCATGTGATCACCAATTGTAACCTTTCCAGCTGCCTTCCGATAAACAAAGTCAATGAGGTAAGCCGGATTTGCTTAATGACCGCCTGATTCACATAACAACTGCAGTGATTTGCTTAACAACTGTGTAAAATGGGGTGCAACTGACTTATCAACTGTCTTGCTTAGCTACAGAAATTTTGGGCTCAATTGTAATTATAAGTCGAGGAGTACCTGTATGGGCAGCTACATAAGTTCGATAAACTAACTAACTAATTAACTAACTAACTAACTAACTAACTAACTAACTAACCAACTAACTAACCAATCAATCAACCAACCAGCCCGCCCACCCACCCACCCACTCACTCACTCTCTTTAAAAATCAGTTGCCAAATGATCCTTGGGATGAAGGAAACTACTAAACTAGGAAGCACAATTACACAATAAGTGCTTCATAAGGTACATATAAACTTTGGGAGAATCTCTGGTGCCTTGAGCATTATCTACAGCCATTGTGTAGGCTGTAGAAAATGCTCAAGACAGTCCAGAGAATTAACCATAGTAACTGTCCCATTATAATCTATTGTTTACGCTATAATAGCTGCAATAAAATAACTGCCCTTTTCACTGGTGAAAATGTGTCAAAATAAATAGCATATAGTAAATAGTACATTTGGTACAGAGTAAATAGCTGTAAATCTGAAGCACATACTTTATGCTTGGATTTAAATTGCCTTTTTCCGAAGAACAATTGAATTGGATTTAATTTCTAAATGAAACCCAAGATTTGGGGCTTCATGCAAGAAGCATTTAAGGTAGAATTCTTAGGAAGTATTCCTAAATATTCCTATACTTAGGAATAAGTATATCTGAAGCTCCCTTATTCTGAGCCAGACATTTGGCTGAATAATGTCTGTAATGATTAGAGGGTTTGTCTATCACAGGTCTTTCCAGTCATTGCCAGAGATTGAATTGGAAATTTCTGCATTACTACTACTACTACTACTACTACTACTACTACTACTACTACTACTACTACAAATGCATATCCTGCCTTTCTCTTGAGTGGTTTATGTGGGGAGTGCCCCTCACTTTATTTACTTGCCAAGGTATTTCTCTATAACTGAGTGACAGTCTTTTTCTTAAAAGCTTCAAGACCTTGGAGTCAAGACCAATGGAATTGAATGGGGAATTAGAATTGAATGGAGAGCAAGTTTGGTGTAGTGGTTGTGGCATCAGACTAGAAACCAGGAGATTGTGAGTTCTAGTCCCGTCTTAGTGCAAACAATCAGATTTATGTTTGACGGGTTCAAGTTGACTAATTTATTGTATTCTACTGGTCGTACAAGACTGTTTGCCTTCTCTTGGAAACAAAGAAGGCCCCAGAATTTACAGGGTGGGGAGAATAATCCCTAGGTCTCTTGCAACTGTGCAATTACTTATTGGGAAGAAAGATGACCAGCATTTTGTTATTCCTCCCCAAACAAGGAGAGGAATTGAGATCACCCACAATTGCTCCAGACAGTTGCTCCTTGCGAGGAGATCACATCCAGTGGGTTTAGAGTTCTGGGAGACCAGGAAAAAGCCATCTTTCTCAAACCATTGGACACTGGATCCACATATTTTCTTTTTAAACCACTCTTGGAAATTGCCTGTTAAATAGTTTGTTGTTGTTGTTAGGTATCTTGGACCAACAAATCTGATAGCTGAATTTCCTTCAATTTCCTTTAGTGAAAAGAGTTTTAAATACAGGTTTGACTTAATTTAAAAAAAGAAGAAGCAGAAAACAAGTGATTAGAACTTTGTTTTTAGAAAGTTACAAATTGACAAAGGGTCCAGATGGATTTGAAATAAGATTTTAGAATTTATTTTAAGAAGCCTTCCCATGAGAAAATGCTTTTGTTTTGAATTATTTTGAGAAAAAAAAAAAGCACGATAGTTTGAGACATTGAAAGTTGGACACTAGAGGGAACCAGAAAGAATGAAAGATTACATTAAAGGAGAACAACATGTAAATTTGACTTACTAATACAAAATGAAGCAAAGTATTCATTTGTATTCATGATACATTGGATGTATCGAAGGATGTATTTGAACAATAGTCCCAGTAGTAAAATTTAAGAGTGTTCTGGCTTTACAGTTAGATTGTGTCTAAAAGATGTTACAGAAGAGGAATGTGTTTTATCTTACAAGATTGAGGCTGATCTGAAAGTGGATTTAAAAACAACAGGTTTAATAATTAAACTTATTAAATTACTTTACCTAAATTACTTAAAAATTAAATTCTTAATAATTAAAAAGGATATACAAGTGATAAACCAAGACAGTGACCTGGATAATTTTCCTATATGGGATTTAAAGTGCAAAAGAGGCTTGTTAAAGCTTTGAAGAATTTTGTGTGGAGGGAGAAAGAAAAAATGGGGGGGGGGGAAATCAAGTTCTATTACATTATTTGAAGGGGCGAGATCAAGACTGTTAAAAACAAAAGGAAGGTATAAATTTGGTTTATTTGATAAAGCTTAAAATATCTAACTTTGATAACCCTTAATGGATTTTTCCTGAAATTAGAACTGAAATGACAAAGCTTTATGAATTTCTTTATAAATAAAAGATGGGATAGGAGAAGATGAGACTATTTGTTGTATTTTAAGAGAAGATGATAAGTTACTAAAATTGTTTATTCTTGTTGTAATGAAAGAGAACGTCATTTATTTATATATTTCTTTTGCTTTTCTTTACTATGTTCCAATATTTCTTTTCTATTTTTTCTTTTTTCCACCTTCTATTTTTCTTTTTCTTGTTTTCTTTTGCACTAGTTTTTATCTTTATAGTTGTAATTTTTTAATACAATTACTGTTCAAAAGGGTTCTGCATGTGTGTAGCCTCCCACGACTATCCCTTCTATTTTCAAGATGGCATATATAATGCATAAAGTTTAACAGCTGAAAACATGT